AGGGGGAGTAGGGTCGTGGGCCTAGAAGGCCAGGTGAGGGGGTGGGGAACTGCCAGGTATTTGGGTTGGGTTGTCGTTGATTCGGGCCGCCTCGTCCACGTCCTCGGCCACGTCCGCGGTAACCACCAGAGTTGCCCCGATTTGATCCGCCGAAACTGCCCTGCCCGGAGTTCTGCCCGTTGCTGCCCTGCCGCGACTGACCCCCGCCCGCCATGTTGCTGCCGCCACCGCCGCTGAGGCTGAGAAGGGCGGTGGACGGGCCGGTGTTGGGGAGGGTGTCGGCCTGCTGTTGTTCGACCAAGAGGAGGGCCGATCGGACTTCCAGGAACGTCGGAAACGAGTTTTGATACTGCAAAAAGTGAACTTGGCCCCGGATGCCATGCGGCAATCCTTGAAGAACTTGTAGGACGAGGGCGTGTTCAGTCACCGGAGCATCCACGTCGTCGAGATAGTCGGCTAGGTTCTTGAGAGTGTGACAATACTCATTTAGTGTCTTGGTTGCTTTGACGGTGGTGCGGAACCGGTGCTCCAATTGCATTGCCCGGGCATGTTTGTTGTCATGAAACAATTTGTAGATCGCTTTCCAGAGTGCCGAGGCGGTAGGGCTGTTTGCGAGGACGAGATCGGAGACCTCATCGGAGACGGTAGACAAGATCCATCCTTGTAGTAGGGCGTCGAATTGGAACCACTCGGCATCGTCGGCCGATTTGGCGACGATAGTGTCGTCAAGATATCCCATGAGATTAAATCGAAGAACAAGGAGACGAAAGAGTCGACTCCATTTTTTGTAGTTCAGATCCGAGATACTGAGTTGAACGGGGATATGGAGTTTAATATTTGAGATTGTTGTAAAAGCAAGGTGGGGAGATTTGGTGTTGTTGGTGTTATCGGAGGAGACGGAGGAGAATTCGGCCATGGTGAGAGATGGGGAAGATGGCCGAGAGAGAGAGGGATCAGGCAGAGAGAGAGAGAGCTGCGGCAGAGAGGGAGAGAGATACTGCCGAGAGAGAGAGAGCCGAAAAACAGGAGAAGGAAGCCGTGAAAGATTTTAGGGCTCTGATACCATGAAGAATTGGTATTTTCCAATGATCATAATGTGTAAATACATGGGAAAATATATAGTAGAGCTTTCCTAGTTACATTAGGAAACTTACTATGTTAGGAATCCTTAATTAATAAGGACTATACAAGTATGGAAACTTCTATATACAAAAGATACTAAATATATACAGAATATATTTAACAAAGGAATAATGTATAACTTGGTGTTACTTTCCAATTCTGCTCTTAATTTGTTTTAGTGTAAGATACGATGTAAAAGAATTAATTGATTAAAAATGAATAGATATGATGGGTAGGTTAATAGTTAATAGAATAAAAGGTAGAGTTTAATTGAAAGTAAAAATAGTTTTTTTGACAAGTATATTCTCTCATTTCCCATGAGGAATATTCAATTACATTACAATTGCTCCACATTTGGCTAAAAGAAACAAAACATGAACATCTAAAAACCATTCAATTCCTTGTTGGCCTTGACATATATATCCATCCCGTCACAAAACAATATTCTTCAATTGCACTACAATCACAACACACTAGAATAGGGGTATAAAATACCACACATTAATAAAACTAAAACCACAATTCTTGGTGTTCCATTCCACTGCAACTCAATTGGTACTCCCACACTTCTTCCTGATCTCGCCATTAGAGCCTGTGAGAGGGTTAAGATTACTCATTTTTAGCATAGCGTTTGCGAATTCGGAAGCAAAGGTAGATGGGTTGGAGCTGTAGGTGTTGACAATGGAGTCCGTGGAACCTCCGTTGAAGAGTTCCTGGTCAGAATGGAAAACTCCTTTTTGACCTTGCAAGTTCACAAAATAAGCATTGTCAAACGTAGTTGGAGTATTGTCGAGTGGGGCAAGGTTGTTGTCACCCCCGCTTTGAGGACAAATTGCTTTCAATGAGCTTGCAAATGTGGGATTTATATTAGCGTCATTGTAGATATGAGTCTGGAACGTCGTGCACCTAGCTTGCCCTATTGTGTGCGCTCCTGTAGCACACCATTAACATAATAATATATAAACTTGTTTTAACATCAGACTTTGACATCGAATCGTTGTTTCGCACACATGCATGCAGGGGCGGACCTACGGTTGTGCAAGTGGGGTCAATTGCACCCACTCAAAAAAACATTATTTATTAGTAGTAGTATGTAATTAGGTATTATATGTAGATTAAGGGCATCCAAGAAGAGTATATTTATATGTGATTAGGTGCTATTTTTTAAAAAATGGAACAGAGAATACCTTTTATAATTGTGTAGAATTTTATGTTTTAATTCTTTTAGATTTGGAAAACTGATTTAACTTTAATTACGAAACTTAATTACAAAATGTTCAATTTTTTTGAAATGTATGAACAAGTTTAATTATTTTAAAAAGATTCCTAAAATATACTTAGTATTTGAAGAAATTTCTAGAATTAATATTTTAGTTGTTTAGTTTTTTTTTCTTTTTTGGTTAAAGCAATGAACGTATTATATTTTTTTATACAGTATTTCAAAAATATTACATACAACTTGCAATATTTATCTCAAAATGCTATTTATTGATACTTTTTTTACCTTGTTTTAAATTTATTTCTATACAAATATCAACATTTTCTTTTTGTGCACAAAATGTGAACCCACTCACTGAAATTCCTGGGTCCACCACTGCATGCATGTACAGATAACGACTCTTGTGTTGCCCAAATAATGAGTATCTGTTACTTTGGTGTCAAACTTGACACGACTCTAACATCGTTCAATTCCAAAACGAATACATTTAAGACACACACACACAGATATATAGTCCGATTCAGGTGAGAATGGTCCTTACAACGAGAAATGAGAATGATGCATTTTTATGTCGAACATTTTTACATTGTGGTAATGCATTTTCTGCACTGGGAGTAAAGTTAACTTATTTACCATAATGTCACTGTGTTTTTTCATATTTCTTTTTTATTTTTAAATTTTTCAAGCCCTTATATTAGATCTTATATCTAATGCAAGAGTGTACAAATTAAACCTGATATAGTACGGAGTACAAATTAAACCTGATAGAGCAACCATTTCGCGGGTGGAAAAGCCTTTGTTGGAGAAAGAAGAGATGAGTTGACTCAGACTGAATGTTGGTGCAGGAATATTATTGTTAGCCGCGCTAGCACTCGCAGTGGTGGAATCTCTTCTCCCTAGTAAAACGTTCCAACTGGGGCCACCAAGCTGCAAATAAATGTAATTAATTACGGAGTAATTTTTGCCACATTAATTAACTGATTTGGTGAATCCTACTAATAATTAATTTACTCAGTAAATGGGTTTTGTATAATTTTATACGAAGGTTGACTTGTATCTTGTCACTTCCTCTATGTAGTATCCTGTTAATTATAATATGATAAGTTTTGACTTGTCTTATACAAGTATTATTACTGGATCATGCACTTTGACGGGTACCATAATTCTATGGGGGGTGGTAGGGTACACTTTGGTGTTCTCCCTACATTATCACTCATTTTTATTTATTTATTTATTTATTTATTTATTTATTATTTTACATGCCAAATTATGTGGTAATGGGGGATGGTGCGCCCCACATTTTGGTGTACCCCTATCATTTTTGTAATTATATTATACTTTCTCCCACGTAAATGAAGAATTTAAATTTGGGACTTTTTGAAGGGAACAAGTGTTTTTCAATGTTTTTAAAAGAATTTTATTTTTTAAATTCGATGGTATCTAACATAATTGTATCAATGCTTTTAAAATAATTGTATTTTTTCAATTCTTTTTAAATTCTTAGCCAAGATTAAATTATTAAAATATTTGAACAATATATTGAATTTCCAAAATTTAAGAAAAAAATTATGGGTAATATATTCATCATTTTATGCAAAAATTCACATGAATATTCCAAGACATTTTCAATTTCATATATATCATTACTTTGAAATTGAATAATTGATGCTACTGCTCCGAAAAATTACTTAATTTTACACCAATATTTCAGATTGCTAACTAAGCTAAATGTGTGACATTTTAGATGGAGTCTGAAGAATAATTGAGTATAAAATTAATAATTAGTAAAATATAATGAAAATATCAAAAAAGCTAAGTTTGTGTGAATTATTCTGAAGAAGTCCAATTAATTTTATTTTTTCAAGCTAATTATAACACATTTTACGTTAAGATTTGGTATGTTTAGGAAAATTAACACCAATTGGAATTTTTTTAGGAAACATTCATACAAGTTGTATAGGTATTTTCTTTATTCTTTATTAGTTATCAATTCATACTTAATAATTTTCCAATCAACATCTTAAATGTCACATATTCGACTTAGTTGACATATAATCTAAATGTTTTTCCTGTTTTGACTTTTTTTAGTCAAACAGTGACATTTTTTTTTACCATAAATATATGAAAATGGTATATTTAATTATTATATAAATTTAATATGATTAGGTTTATCTTAGAATATAGTTTTGATGTATCAATTTTTTATATCATTTATTTATTTATTTAGATTATGTTTAGATTATACGGAGTAGTCAAAAAATGTCACTATTTAACAAAAAAGTCAAAATAAAATATGTTTTTAGAACTGGATGGAGTAGATATTGATGTGAATTTTTTCTTATTTTATTAGAAAAGTAAAAAAATTGACAGTTTTCCAAGAACAAATTACATTGGAAAATAATATAATTAATTCGAGACAGAGTTAGCATAAAAAAATGTTTGATGGTAGTAAGTAGTGTTTGTAATTTTGTATTTTACCGCAACAACAGAGTCTCGAGCGGCGACCGCAACAATGTCAACACAAGATACGACACCAGGACAAGCGCTCTCGAGTTGAGCCTTAATGGAGTCAATCACGTTGTATCCTCTCACCGATCCGCCATTTGGACCCGCGTTTTTCTCTCCGGTGAAGTTTGGCGTGTCATCCAACAAAATTGATCCGTCACAACCCTGTTGTACAATATATACATTAACAATTATTTTTTTATCTCTAACAAAAAAAAAGCTGTTTTAATACAGAGAAAGGCTGAAAGGGACGAGGGAATAATGATTGATTAATACGTGCATTGACGAAGCAATCATGGAAATGGAGACGAAGCAAGGACGCTCCCATCCGAGCCTCCGCCTGCACGGCGGACACCACCCCCTGCTTTATTATGGAAAGGGCGTTCGAGCACGACGAAGCGTAGAAATTTGCAGAGAGCTGCTGGGCGGAGGACATGGCGAGGAGAAGGGTGAAGAAGAATGTAAATGATGGGAAGACAGCCGGACGATGAACTAATGAGGAAGAATAGACTCCGGTAGCCGCCATGTTCGACAATATAGTCAAGATATATGGAACAAATATTAGAAAGAATGAAAACAAAGAGGTTTGCTTGTGGCATTGGTATCTTCTTGTCAGACGGTATTTATAGTTGATTTTCAATCCTTTTCAGTTTCTATATTTCACATACCCTCAATTAGAAGTTGTACCCAAGTGTGAAAGCTAAGCATGTTGGCACACTTCTCTGCAGTTGTACTCAAATGATGGGAGAACTCCCTAAGACTAAGAGTTTGGGTAATGACAAGTAAGAAATTGAATGTCATACGATGACGTGAAGTATTTTAGTCAATCAAAAATAGTCCAGTCACCGTGTGGTACATGAGTGGAGTGGCATGTCTTGCAGTGGCAAGTTATTGCTTTTATCATTTTTTACACATTTTTAATATATTTTAATTATTAAAATTATTTTACTTATCTTTTTTAATAAAAATAATTGTAATCTTTTTTTGGCAATGTTAACATTTTTGACATATTTTAATTAGTCCATGTGTGCTTTTTTTATTATAAATTATTGCATTTTCTTGTAAAGATTTTAATTGTACAAAGAGAAAATTAATTTTAAATTTTTTAAATTAAATTATATAAAAAATGGTGCAAAAGTGCCACGGATAAGCCTTGCAAAAGGGGTGGAAGGCTTCCTCCATGCCTCGCAAACAAGGGATGCCATATGACGTGGCAGGCGTGACACTGCACCAATTTGACTCGCTGCTGTACATGCTCTAAAAAATTTCGAAAGTAGAGTTCTAATTAAATCTTTTAAGAACAAAATATGAGTTTACACTATCACACTCACTGATTGTCACATTACAAAGGTCACACTATCATTGTTACAATCTTGTCTGTCGCTGCGGCCACTTAAGTGCCGCCGCAAATCGCCAACGGTTAACTGATCACATTGTCACATTACATTAACATCACCTTTTCATCACACTATCATCACGTACTCTTACATCAAACTGACATTATACTCCAGCTTTGGTCTTATAAGACTAAAGACTCTTATTTTAGTAGTTTTATACTTTTTTACATTTATCTAGGGAGAATTCTTTAAAATGATTGGGAATTTAAGATTGAATACGAAAGTTACTCAAAAAAAAAGTGGTACACAAGTGTGCAACATAAAAAAATTACATAGAAAATATATATTGTTAGAGTACTACCACACATTAGAAATAGAGAAAAAATAGGTTTATAAGCTCTTGAGTAACTAGTAATTGATAAAAAAAATACTCTGATCCCTATCTCCTAAAATAATTAACTTCCTTGTTTGACTTTAGTGGTCAAATTTTTTAAATTTTGACCACATATTACAAAGAATTATATTGAATTTTCATATAAATTTAGTATTTATAGATTTATTTTGGAACATTATTTTGAAATATTTTATTTTTAAAATAGGAAAAATTTACACGAATACTCCAAAAAAATACTCCCTCCGTTCCACAAAACCCTTCCGGTTTTGACTTTGGGGAAAAATAAGGAAAGTGTAATTTTGGTTGACTTTCCAATTTTGTCTTTGATGTGCTGTGAAAAAGTAAGATGAGATAGTTTGGTTATTAGTGAAAAAGTATGATGTGATAGGTAGGATATAAAAAAGTAGGGATAAAAGTGGTTTTTAATAGAAAGTGGAAGTGTTTTGTGGAATGCAAAAAAACGAAAGAAGAAGGGTTTTGTGGAACGGAGGGAATATGTGATTTTACGTTAATACTCCGAAATTGAATACGGAGTAATTGACAACACTGTTTCCAAAAATTACTCAATTTTACACCAATACTTGAGAGGGTGTCCGAAGAAGAAGAAGAAGGCTAAGGCAATGGCGATGGAAAAGACCACTTTGAAGCAAAGCACTAAGATAGCGTCTTCGGATATGGGTGAATTTACGACAGGTAAGACTCAATTCCTTCATCTCAGTCGTTATCGGTGGTGAAGCAAACCCTAAATCTGGATTCGAATGTTGCTAATCAAGGAAAAGATGATGTTATCAATAACTCTAATAATAGCAATTTGGGTAATGAAGCTAAGTTCTAGGGGTATGCCCATGGTTGTTCATGATATATATTGACTTATATAAAAAAAATATTAAAAAGGAAAAACTTACATCATCCCACATCCATTAGTGCATGGGTAAATGGCTGCCTAAACCATCGTACGTAGTACTAAATGCTGGTGTTGTTTAGAAACAACATTTTCGATTATCGTTAGTCTTTTTAATAAAATTTTAATAGTGTATATTAATTTTGAAAACGTTAATACTAAACACTACTGTCAATTAGTTTTCTCATAATGCTAACGAGGCCGTTAGCTTCTTTGCAATCACAGTGCAAAATAAGATTAACAATTCTAGACCACAAAATGGGGTAATTATATATCCTTTTTAGAGCCAATCATCATACTTATGTTTGAAAATGTAATCTCTTATGTCCTAGCATTACAGAAATGTCATTTCTTCACAATATCTTTGGTTGTGATCTCTAATGTCGTAAAGATAATTTTCCTGGAGTACTCCATATATGGGAAATATAGTAAATCCAAACATTCTTCTTGTTTGCATCCCATAATTTTCTTTCCAATTTAAAAAAGGTGAGATTTAAGGAATAATGTATAACTTGGTGTTATTTTCCAATTTTGCCCTTACTTTGTTGTAGTGTAAGATATGATGTAAAAAAATTGATTAAAAAAGAATAGATATGATAAGTAGGTTAATAATTAATAGAATACAAGGTAGATTTTAATTGAAAGTAAAAATAGTTTTTTTGAGATGTATGTAGAAAATGCTAAAAAAATGGGACAAAGAAAGTATATTCGTTCATTTCCCATGATGAATATTCAATTACATTACAATTGCTCCACATTTGGCTAAAAGAAACAAAACATGAACATCTAAAACCATTCAATTCCTTTTTGGCCTTGACATATATATCCATCCCATCACAAAACAATGTAAGTCAATTGCACTACAATCACAACACACTTCAATAGGGGTATAAAATACCATACATTATTAAAACTAAAACCACAATTCTTGATGTTCCTTCCGGGTGTAACTCAATTGGTGCTCCCACACTTCCTCCTGATCTCGTCATTAGAGCGTTAAAGAGTTAAGATTACTCATTTTTAGCATAGTGTTTGCAAATTCGGAAGCAAAGGTAGATGGGTTGGAGCCATAGGTGTTGACAATGGAGTCCGTGGAACCTCCGTTGAAGAGTTCCTGGTCGGAATGGAAAACTCCTTTTTGTGAAGAGTTCCTCAATAAATAAGCATTGTCAAACGTAGTTGGAGTATTGTCGAGTGGGGAAAGGTTGTTGTCACCCCCGCTTTGAGGACAATTTCCTTTCAATGAGAATGCAAATGTGGGATTTATATTAGAGTCATTGTAGATATGAGCCCGGAACGTCGTGTACCTTGCTTGCCCTATTGTGTGTCTTCGTGCACTACACCATTAACATAATAATATGTAAATTTATTTTAACATCAGATTTTGACATCATTGATTCGAAGACATGCATGTAATGACTCTTGTGTTGTCCAAATAATGAGTATCTGTTAGTTTGGTGTCAAATTTGACACGACTCTGACCTCGTTCAATTATAAAACTTATACATTTTTTTAAGTATGGCGAGCTACACACACACACATATATATATATAGATTTTGGTTCTGGTGAGAATGCGATCTTAGGAGAGAAATGAGAATGAATCTGATGCTTTAGATTGTGCGATCTAAGGGTCAAGATTGCATCAAAATTAGGTGCAACAAAATGGTTTGAAAATGCATCACGTCGAAATGCATCATAATCCTTTGAAAATGCACTATCTCAAAATCTGAGCGCAAGATGCAATCTAAGCCGCACGATGCATCAGATCCAAAGGCTAGATTTTATTCTTATTTCTTTCACTAAGGTGCATTCTCACCTGAACCGCCCCCTATATATATATGTGTGTGTGTGTGTGTGTGTGTGTGTGTGTGTCTATATATATATATATATATATATATATATATATATATATATATATATATATATATATATATATATATGAGATTGACTCCAGTAAGATAACATGCTACGATCAGATAATGCAAAGCTCATCACTGGCTATTGCAAAGCTTACCAAAGACAACTACAAATCTCACCAAACTGTAAGGCAAAGCTGAGCATTTTTTTTCAAGACTTCGGATTTTTTTTTTTGAAAAAATAAAATCAAACAATGGGTGCTGACTTGATTTTGACCATTGACCGCCGCCTGCCGCCGCCGGCACGCCGCCACCACCAGCACGACGCCACCACCAGTCGCCGGCCGCCGGCAACGCTGCACTGCCTGCTGTCGCCACTGACCGGTGGTTGACCGGTTTTGTTATTTTATTTTTTATTAAATTTTTAATTTTCAAAATTTAAAAAAAAAAGGTGAGTTTTGGTGTTTAAAATAGTGAGCTTTGCTTCATTTCTAAATGAGCTTTGCATTGTCCATTGGTGAGTTTTGTGTTGTAGTGTGCTGAGCTTGTCGTATCTCACTTGGGCCACCAACCTATAAATAAATGTACTCCCTCCGTCCAAATTATTTGCAACATTTCCTTTTTCAGCAGTCGCGGGAACTTTTATTTATTTCTATGTTTTCATTGGTTATTTGATAAAATAAAATATTATTGATACCTCTTATTTCGAATAACTTTTCATGTAGTTTTTTGATATATAAATTTTATTTTTTATTTCTATACCAATATGTAAATAAAATGAATTTAAAAAACATGATATTTTGCCTCGAAAATACAATTGTGGCAAATATTTAGGAACGAAAGGAGTAATTAATTACTCTTTGCCACGTTAAATAACTGATTTGGTGAATCCTACTGGAGTAATTATTAATTTACTCAGTAAATGGGTTTTGTACAATTTTATACGAAGTTTGACTTGTATCTTGTCACTTCCTCTATGGAGTATCCTGTTATGATATGATAAGTTTTGACGTTGTCACATGTTTATTACTCGATCATAGGCCGGTCTCGAGGATTAATCAGCCTGGGCCGAAACAAAAAAAAGGTCCTAAAAGTCCTATTCTTAATGAT